ATCTAGTTTAAAGTGAGATTTAGTTTAAAGTGTATGTCTTTGTTTTTGAACTACTTTTAATTAAAATCATTTTAATTTTGTTGTGTTTTTTGGACTGTACAGCACTTTGTATCAACTGTGGTTGTTTTAAAGTGCTTTATAAATAAAGCTGGTATGGTATGGTATGGCTGAAAGGCCGAGTTTTTATTCCCACTTTAATTCCGACTTTCTCCAAAGAAGATTTGGTATAAAACACTTTACAAACTCACAGCCCAGATCTTACTCAGGACCCCCCCGGGTCTCGGGGGGGTCTGTAACCCTGTGGAAGCGTTTTCGGGGCGGCTAAAGCCTGCAGACGGACGCTGGCTCTGGATCTCTGTGTTACCGCAGAGACCTGGTGGATTTAGAGGAATACAGAAGAAGTTTAGCAGAAAAAACCCTCAAATATTCAGAGGAGAAGCACATCAGAAACTACTGATAATAAACTGATAAATGTCCACATGGGAAAAGAATTCCAAATACTTGGAAACTTCCCAGATGTTAAACATCTGTGTAAAATGAAAATGTAAAACCTTGTTATTATAATATTGGTAAGTTAAGATACGTGTGCCTATTAGACACATATATTTCATATTCTGTTACCATTTTTTGCTTCCTTTTTTAATTTTTTTTCCTTCTTCAACTTACAGGAGCACCTTTTATTTTTACTTTAATTGTCAAAACACGTGTTGTAATCTTATTTTCTGCATATTAAACCATGCAGGCTTTGTACCGTATTTGTTTAATTGTTTAAATACAGTGGTGTAAATAAGTATTTGAGCCCTTGCTGATTTAGCAGGTTTGCCCACTTACAAAGAATGCAACGATCTATAACTTTAATCATATGTACATTCTAACAGTGAAAGACAGAATCCCAAAGAAAATTCCAGAAAATCACATCATATGAATTTATAAAAATTGATAACCATCTGATGAGGAAAAATAAGCATTCTTTGTAAGTGGGCAAACCTGCAAAATCAGCAAGGGCTCAAATACTTATTTCCCCCACTGTATGTTTTATTTAAAGGAGAATTTATCGACACTTAAAGGCAACGTACACAGATACACAAAAAAGCAGTAAGAGAAACAACAATAAAATCAGTAAAATAGACAGAAGCCATGGAGATATCAGATGGAAAATGAGTCTTAACCCTTAAAAGCCTGATCCAAGAATGAAACAAAACAGAAAATGACTTTTTGGGGGGTTTGAAATCCTTATTTGGTCTTTAAACAAAATATGTAAAAAGAAAAAACAGAAATGCATTTTTGATATTAATAATTTATTACTATGTGATAAGTCAAGATTATTTTGAGCAAAGTTTTTACCATTAAATTATGGAAAAGGTGTCAGACGCAAAACATTTCAGAAACCGTATCAAATATGACACATTTGGCATTACAGGGTTAAAGAGTCTGATCTTTTTTGTTAGTTCACTAGAAATAGAAATAGAATACAAAATATAAAAAGCTTGATAGGTCTGAAAAATACTAATTTAATAACAGCCTGAATGCTAAAATATCCGATGGCTGTTGGATTTTGAACCCGTCTTCTCGGCTCTGGATCAATAAAAACGTTTTCAGATTGAAGATGAAACAAGAAAACGGCACAATTTGGACTCCAGGAATTTATTTAGAGCAATAATTATCTATTATAGAATTACTGAAATCAGCAAAACATGAACAACATCAATCAATCAAGTTTATTTGTATAGCCCTTTACAATACCCAAATGGTACTCAAAGTGCTTTACAACAAAGCCATAAAACAACACAAAAAACATAGAAAACATACAGAAACAACTAAAAGTGAATAAAAGGAAGAACTTCCTGGTGTGAGCTGTAAACCGGGCGGTTTTATAACTGGACAGACGCTCTTTGTTCTGGTCTCAGAGTGAAACAATCAGAGGGGCTGTCAGAGTCTCTGTGAGTAGATTTACATGTTTTGGAGGGTTCAGGCCGTTTGTTCCCCTCAAACCTCCGTCTTCCACCCAGGACTGACTCCCGGCCATTGTTCAGAGCCCCCCCCCCTTCCTCCTGGCTCTGAGATGGACTTTTGACATAAATATGACGCCATAAGATGGACTCACTACTCACTAACTTCCCCCCATGGACACGGACAATACACGCATCTCAGTTTAGCTTTGTCTTCAACTTAATTGTCTATTTTTGCAATTAACTCAGTGCAATATATATATATATATATATATATATATATACAGTGGGGGAAATAAGTATTTGAGCCCTTGCTGATTTTGCAGGTTTGCCCACTTACAAAGAATGTTTATTTTTCCTCGTCAGATGGTTATCAATTTTTATAAATTCATATGATGTGATTTTCTGGAATTTTCTTTGGGATTCTGTCTTTCACTGTTAGAATGTACATATGATTAAAGTTATAGATCGTTGCATTCTTTGTAAGTGGGCAAACCTGCAAAATCAGCAAGGGGTCAGATACTTATTTCCCCCACTGTAGATATATATGCTCTTACCCTGTATATATCTAGCTCTTAGTTATAGTTATAGGCCAGGGCCAGGACCAGGACCTTCAACTTAATGTTTCTTTTTGCAATCAACTCAGTGCAATATCCATTGATGTTTCTTTTGTAATAACTCTGTGCAATAATATGTATATATATGCTCTTACCCTGTATATATCTAGCTCTTAGTTATAGAAAACATATTTATTGTGCAGGAATAAGGTCTTAGCTGTCACACTGGTAGCCAAGTAATCGACATTTCGTTTAGAGATTCACCTTGTGTTTTTTGTACAATGACAATAAAGGAAGTCTAAGTCTAACGGCCTGTTTTCCTGCAGGAAAGAGGAGATGGCGCCCTCCTCCACCCCAAACCAACAGTACCACAACATGGTGCGTCTGTCCACGCCCAAAAGCAGGAAATATGAGGAAGTCAGGTAAAACTACACAAAACAACACGAATAATTACAGTCAAACGGAGGAATATCGCCCAGTTTAAGTCAATGATGATTATCCCTTTAAAGCCTGATCCAAGAATAAAACAAAACAGAAAATGACTTTTTTTTTGTTTGAGTTCCTTATTTGGCCTTTTAACAAAATATGTAAAATGAAAAAATAGAAATACATTTTTGATATTAATAACTTATTACTATGTGATAAGTCCAGATTATTTTTGTGTATCTTCTGCCCCCTGTTATCAGGTGTATCTGATTGTGTAAAATAGGATTTAGAGCAAAGTTTTTACCATTAAATTATGCAAAAGGAGTCAGACGCTAAACATTTCAGAAACAGTATCAAATATGACACATTTGGCATTACAGGGTTAACACAAAATATAGTTATAAAAGAAATAAAACTATCAGTAATTTACATAGATCATGTGATAGCATGCTATGCTAACGTGAGTAATTATAGCCAAATGCTAACAGAATAAAAACCCAACAGAGAAAGGAAAAGAGAGAAAAGAGAGTCTGTGGACACAGCCAGAGACTTTAACACAAAATATAGTTATAAAAGAAAATAAAACTATTAGTTATTTACATAGATGTGATAGCATACTATGCTAATGAGAGTAATTATAGCCAAATTCTAACAGAATAAAAACCCAACAGAGAAAGGAAAAGAGGACACAGCCAGAGACTTTAACACAAAATATAGTTATAAAAGAAATAAAACTATCAGTAATCAGCATAGATCATGTGCTAGCATGCTATGCTAACGTGAGTAATTATAGCCACATTCTAACAGAATAAAAACCCAACAGAGAGAGAAAAGAGAGTCTGTAGACACAGCCAGAGACTTCAACACAAAATATTGTTATAAAAGAAAATAAAACAATCAGTAATCTACACAGATCATGTGATAGCATGCTATGCTAAAGTGAGTAATTATAGCCAGATTCTGACAGAATAAAAACCCAACAGAGAGAGAAAAGAGAGAAAAGAGAGTCTGTGGACACAGACAGAGACTTTAACACAAAATATAGTTATAATAAAACAATCAGTAATTTACATAGATCATGTGATAGCATGCTATGCTAACGTGAGTAATTATAGCCAATTTTTAAGAGAATAAAAACCCAACAGAGAGAGAAAAGAGAGAAAAGAGAATCTGTGGACACAACCAGAGACTTTAACACAAAATATATAAAACAATCAGTGATTTACATAGATCATGTGCTAGCATACAATGCTAACGTGAGTAATTATAGGTTTGTTGTCTCCTCGTCTCTCTGGCTCTGAGGGACTGGATTCTGGTCTAAAGTGAGGAGGCCCAGCCCGGGTCCAAAACAAACGCCTGTTATTCCAGACAATGCAGCCCATTGTCCAGAGCCCCGGACCCCCGGGGGCCGACCGCGGAAGTCTGTTTATAAACCCGAACCCCGCAGGCGGACACATTCAGGAGAGATCCACCCAGAGTTTTATTTACAGCCTCTGGAGGGGGAGTTTGGGAGGGGAACTATATCCTCTCTAAACCAGAGCAGAAGCTAAAAACCAGATAAAATAAAGGCTCTGAACCAGAGCAGAAGCTAAAAACCAGATAAAATAACCAGAGCAGAAGCTTAAAAACCCGATAAAATAAAAGGCTCTTAACCAGAGCAGAAGCTAAAAACCTGATAAAATAACCAGAGCAGAAGCTTAAAAACCTGATAAAATAAAAGCCTCTGAACCAGAGCAGAAGCTAAAAACCCGATAAAATAAAAGGCTCTGAACCAGAGCAGAAGCTAAAAACCCGATAAAAGAAAAGGGAAACTCACTCCGTTAGACCTCCGTTAGCACAGACATTACAATCCACACAAAAACAAGCTAACTCAGCCTTTATTCCAGTGTTTTTAACCTCTGTGCCTCGGTACACTAGTGTGCCGTAGAAAATCCTCCTATTTCACCTAATTGGTCTAAAAAGATTTTTTGATAAGGAATTAATTATCTGCAAATAATTTTTGAGTGTGTGTGCTGTTCTAGTGACTGGTGGAGTAATCATGTAATAATTCCTTATGACTAGATTTTGTTTATAATTTTGTATATTGAAGTGGACATGTTGAGAGCAATTTGAAAGAAGAAATATAAGATATGATAAAAATACTTTTTTGTTTATTTGATTCCTATTCAAGACACTTAAGATAAGAATAAAATAAGAATAACTATAGTGTTACTATAGGTAGATAAGATAAGAATAAAATAAGAATAACTATAGTGTTACTATAGGCGGATACAGATTTGTTTAACATTTTTGGTTGGTGTGCCTCGGGATTTTTTCAATGAAAAAATGGACCTTGGCTCAAAAAAGGTTGAAAAAAATCACATTAGGACTCCAGGGAACTAGCTTAACTTGTTGAAATAGGGTATAATATATCTCCTTTAAATCTCCTAGCTATTTGGGTTTCTTAAGCTGTAAGCCATAATCAGCGATATTAAAACAATAAAAGGTTTGTGATATTTCAGTTGATTTGTAATGAATCCAGAATGTCTGACATTTCATGATTTTTAATTGCATTACAGAAAATAAAGAACTTTATCACAATATTCTAACTTTCTGAGACAGTCCTGTATATATAGATTATAAAGGGCTATCTGAAGTGTAACGGGGTCTTCTCTGGTCCCACAGCCCCCCCCAGACCCCCCGGTGGGGGGGCAGGTTTCCCAGAATGAGGACCCCCCCCGTCACCCCCCGCCTTCTGCAGCTTTCAACGCCCAAACAAACGCACCCGGACCTCCAGGGCGAGCGGGAGGTGAGACCTGAGGGAGTTTATGACTTCCTCAAACAGGATAAAGCTCAAATATTCACATTAAATCCAGCAGAACATCCACTTCTGAGGCCTAAACATCCAATTTTACAACATCTGAAGTGAAATTCGGTCAAATATTCGACTCAAATCCCGAAGTAAACTTCCAATATACGGCCAAGTTATAGAAAAATATCTGAAATATCAAAATAAATCAAAATAACTAGCCTAAGTTGGTGTAAAGTTCCTGTAGTAAAGTCATCAAATATTCCACTCGACACCCAAAGTAAATCATAGACAAAGAAATATAAAATATGAAAATTTAATAAAAAAATTAAAAACAGCTTTATGACTTCCTCAGACGGATAAAGCTCAAATATTCACATTAAATCCAGCAGAACCTCGACTTCTGAGGCTTAAACATCCAATTTTACAACATCTGAAGTGAAATTTGATCAAATATTCGACTCGAATCCCGAAGTAAACTTCCAATATACGTCGACGTTATATAAAAATATCTGAAATATCAAAATAAATAAAAATATCTAGCCTAAGTTGGTGTAAAGTTCCTGTAGTAAAGTCATCAAATATTCGACTAGACACCCAAAGTAAATCATAGACAAAGAAATATAAAAATTGAATAAAAACAAATAAGCCATGTTGGTTTAAATTTAACATGATATAATTTAGATTAAAAAATAAAGAAAAATAAATACCAAATATTAAAATGAAATCAAAATAACTAGTCTAAGTTAGTTTGTAACTTAAGGGCCAATAAAAACCCTTTTTATTGGTTATTTCTGCATCATTTATTTCTTTTTCCATCTCTCTTCTAGAAGTCATTTGTTTTCTTGCTATGTGTAATTATCTGCAGTATTTATTAAGGAGTTATCGTAGGTTTTTGGAACCAATTCTAGGAATTACAGAGTATTCTGATGGAGGATTTGAACCAACACACCAATATTTAACACAGAAGTCGTCCTGGAACCAGTTAAATACGTATTTAGAGGTTCTGCTGTATTTATTTGTATTTTTAATCTGTTTTCCGGTCCAACACTCCCGACTTTTTGGGGTTTGAGCCCTCTAGATGCTGGTTTAGCTCCTGGGGGGCTGTTATTTATTTTATTTAACATATATATATTTTTTTTTGTCTATTTAGGGGACATGTAACAGGATTCTTTCTTTTTAATTCATATTTCAAATGATTATTTTCAAATTATTTTAAAAAATTTGATAATTCAAAGGTTCCCAAACTCCCAAAGACAGTGAAAACATACAATTTCCATTAATTATTTTGGAACCAATTCTAGGAATTACAGAGTATTCTGATGGAAGATTTGAACCAACACACCAATATTTAACATAAAAGTTGCCCCTGGATCCAGTTAGATTCCTATTTAAAGGTTCTGCAGTATTGATTAAGGAGTTATCGTAGGTTTTTGGAACCAATTCTAGGAATTACAGAGTATTCTGATGGAAGATTTGAACCAACACACCGATATTTAACACAGAAGTCTCCTATTTAGAGAGAGATCTGGATCTGGATCGGATCTGTTTTGGACCCTTTGGGTCCTTTATGATTTCTGGGGTTCACAGAGACTAAATTCTCAGTTTTTCCTCCCCAGACCTCGGCCCCCAGAGGGACCCCCACCTCCCAGAGACTCGTGCAGCTGTCGCTGCCCCGGATGAGGGGGGGAAAATCCTGCTCCCAACTGGGGCGCCCCGAGGACCCCATCTGGACCGTAAGAGACCCCAAAAAACCCCAGAAACCCCAAAACATCCCAGGAACCACTAGAACCCCCCAAAACCCCCAGAAACCCCCAAAACCTCCAGAAACCCCCAAAACCCCCAGAAACCCCCAAAACCTCCAGAAACCCCCAAAAACCTTCAAAAACCTTCATAAACCCCCCAAAACCTCCAGAAACCCCCAAAACCCCCAGAAACCTCCAGAAACCCTCATAAACCCCCAGAAACTCCCCCAAAAAACCCCAAACCCCCAGAAACATCCCGGGAACCACCAAAAACCCTCATAAACCCCCCAAAAAACCAGAAACCCCCAAAAACCTCCAAAAGCCCCAGAAACCCCCCCAAAAAACCCAGGAGCCCCCAGAAACCTCACAAAACCCAAGAAAACCACCAGGAACCCCCAAAACCCCCAGAAGTCCCCAAAGACCTTCATAAACCCCCAGAACCCCCCAAAAAAACCCCAAACCCCCAGAAACCCTCATAAACCCCCAGAAACCCCCCAAACCCCCAGAAACCCCTACAAAACCCCAGAAACCCCCAAAACCCCCAGA